GTCGGGTCTGGTCCAAGATGCGGCCTTTCGGCCTGCTGTACCCCAAGTCCGGGCCTTTAGGCCCTACTGTGTCCCTCTAGCCCTAAGTCGGGTCCAGTAGGACCCGTGTGGCGTCGAAGATGTAACACACTCCCCCTCTTAAAAGACCGAGCTATCTGCGAGGGCGGAGTTGTCTGTCCGATACTGGGATGGGTCGGGCGGGACGAGCTGCTTCCTTGGCAAGGCGTCGCTTCTCATAGTCGGCGAAGATAAGGGGTGCAGAAGTCTGCAAGTCTGCACTAGAGATCCACCGAATGTCGTCAGGCGCATATTGTTTGAATGTGACTTTGAACTGCATTGGCTTGTTGCCATACTTGTGGTGCGTGATGACTTGGTCGACTTCCTGATGTCCGTCCATAGAAGGCGGATCCTGTGATCGTCGACCGGGAAACTCGTCGGCGGAAGGTGGCGCGTAGATGGCCAGCTTCGACGCGTGGAAGACCCGGTGCACTGTAAGGTGCGGTGGAATGTTGACCACAAAGGAAGGACCTGCGGGGTCGTCTCCAACGGCAGAAGTAACTTCCCATGGTCCGAACCATTTCGGAAGGAGTTTGCGCGAAACGTCCTGCTCGAGCGCAAATTCCTCGGAGAGGACCCAAACAAGGTCTCCCTCGCGGAAAGGACATGGAAGTCGACGTCGGTTAGCCTGCTGCTGCATGCGGATCTGAGCCTTTTGCATATTCGCGCGGGCTTTGATCAGCAAGTCCTGGTACTTCCGAATTGAAGCGGGGGAGCAAGGGACGTCTATGTCGGCGGCCTGTGGCAAAAGGAGATCAGCGAAGAACCGTGTTTTCTCTCCACCATGATGTAACTCGAATGGTGTGACGCAGATCGCCGGGTGCACCGAAGTGTTATAGGCGAACTCGATGTCGGGAAGCCAGTCAACCCAATCTTTCTGGTCGGGACGGATGAGCGTACGCAACATCATCTGAGCGGTCTGGTGTGCTCGCTCCGTCTGGCCATCCGTCTGCGGGTGCCGAGCCGAGCTCGGCTTCATTGTCGTACCGGACTCAGCCATGAGGGAAGTCCAAAAGGCCGACATGAAGCGAGTATCTCGGTCGCTCACTATGTCTTCCGGAACACCCTGGTTGGTAATCCAACCGGTGTGCAAGAGTCGTGCTAGCTCAGGTGCTGCATCATGATACTTGCAAGGAAGGAAGCGAGCATACTTGCTCAAACGGTCAACGACCGTGAGAATACCGTCATGGTCGTGGCGATCGCGGGGGAATGGGCCTGTCACGTCCATAGCAATGGAGAGGCGCGGTGCCCGAGGAATCGGCAACGGTTTTAGTTCGCCGAAGAGGACTCGAGATCGACCCTTGTTACGGTGGCAAACTGCACATGACTCAATGTACCTCGTGACGTCATGAAGGACGTCGGGCAAGTGAAAACGCTGGCGGAGGCGTGCTAATGTGCGGTTCACGCCAAGGTGTGCCGAAAGTCGTGCGTCGTGGAATTCGCCGAGAAGACGAGTCCGTAAGATGCGATCTTGGGGCACAACTAACAAGTCCTTTCCTCTCGTGTGAAGGAGAAGGAACCCGTCGGAAATCCGATAATGGCTAACCGACGGTTGATCCGATGAAAGCTCTGCGTAAAGCGTAGAGTAAGTCGGATCGGACTTGTAGCCTGTGACGAAATGCGGTTGCAGATCATCATCGAGGTCGAATATCGTGGTCACAATGGCACAAAAATCGGGCCGTCGTGAGAGGGCGTCCGCAGCTCGATTGGCGGGATCGGGAATGTGGCACGGGTCAAAGTCGAACTGGTCGATGTAATACATCCATCGCACGATCGTGCTAGTGACCGTGTCCTGCGTTTTATAAAAGGTCAACGGATTGTTGTCCGTATTTCATTTAAAACGCCGACGGCCGAGAAAAAAGTGGCGCCATCGTATGATAACGGTGACGAACGCGAGTAGCTCTTTCTTCCTAGCGTCGTCGAGAGTGTTGACGAGAGACACCTTTTGGGAGAAACACTCGACCGGATGCCAACCGTCCTCGTGACACTRTTCCAACACCGCACCAATACCGTATCCCGAAGCGTCCATAGTCACTTGGGTGGGAAGGGTGGGGTCGTATATACGGAGGGCAGGTGCGGCTTGCCGCTGCCTTCAACGTAGTGAACGCGCCACGGGCTGCGTCGTCGAACTCGAAGGGCACCTTCGGGGACTGAAGTCTCGACAAAGGAGCGGCCACTTTCGAGTATGACTCGACGAATGGCTGATAATATCCAGCCAAACCCATGAAAGAGCGTACATCCGTTGTGCAACGGGGTTCCGGCCAATCCACGATGGCTTGGATCTTGTCCGCTAAGGGACGAATGCCTTTCGGCGTGACAAAATGACCCAAGTACTCAAGCTTTTGCTTGGCGAACTCGCACTTGTCGAGATTCGCTTTGTACTTGGCCAGTCGCAAACGATCCAAAACAGCGCGAAGGTGTACGATGTCCTCGTCCAACGTCCTACTATAAACCAAGATGTCATCAAGGTAGATGAGGACGCTGCGATCGAGCAAGTCGCGAAACTCAGTCGTCATAGCTGCTTGGAAAGTCGCGGGGGCATTGGTGAGGCCAAATGGCATGACAACCCACTCAAAATGCCCGTACCGCGTCTTGAACGCGGTTTTGTACCGATCTTGAGGCTGGATTTCAATCTGGTGGTAACCTGACTTCAAATCCAACTTCGAGAAGTACGTCGCGCCGCCTAACCGCTCAAGGAGATCATCAATCCGAGGGAGAGGGCCGGCGTTCTTTACGGTTTGTGCGTTAAGTTTTCGATAGTTGATATATAGCCGTAGATCTTTGTTCTTATTCCGGACGAAGAGAACAGGTGCACCGTAAGGCGAACAACTAGGGCGAATCCAGCCCTTGTCGAGAAGGTCATCGAGTTGTGCGCGAAGCACCTCGAGTTCCTCTTCGCTCATGCGGTAGATACATCCACGCGGAGGGACGGCACCAGCCTCGAGAGTGATCCCATGACGTATGGGCCGATCCGGAACCGTTCCGGTGGGAGCCTCGAAGACGTCTCCATACTCGTCCAAGAGGTGAGTAATGCGTGGGTCCGGCGGTGACGCGGCTGGTCCGTCCGGCGAGGGGAGGGCATGCAAGAATACAAGGCCCATCTCCTCGACGTCATTCCGAGCTATGGCGTCGTGAATTCTCGCAACGGAAACCACGTGACAAGCAATCGAAGTGTGAGGGGTCGCGACCGTACATGGGACTAACACTCCGTTCCGATCACGGATATGAACGGTTCGGTCATGAAAGTTCACCGGATGATTGGCACTACGCAACCAAGATATGCCTAGTATCATGTCAAACTTGGTGTCGAGGATGTCAAAAGATACTGGCTCGCACACAAGTGGCCCAAAGTATATCGGAACGTCGTGAACGCATCGGTCAATTGACTTTTGCGTGCGGCCGTCCGCGAGTGTAACTTGCGTAGGTTGCGTCTTCCTTCGAACGCGCGGGCCAAGACCTGCGCGGGCCATAAAGGCTTGACTCATAAAGTTGCGAGACGCTCCGCAATCAATCAAGGCACTACAGGTTGCCTTTCCGATTTGAATGCGGATATAGAGCAAAGGCGCGTCGGTTTCGGCGTACCTTTGGGTGGCGTACTCGCGGTCAACCTTCGCAAGATAGGAGCGGAGATTGACAACCGCTACCCTGTCGTCCGTCAACGGAGCTGGTACTGTAGTGTGCAAATAGGAGCGTAGATTTGCCATCAAGGCATTGCAATGTGGCCTTGGCAAGGTTCCGGTTGAGGGTAGAGGCATCCAAGCGAAGTCCTCTCTCGTGAGCGGGTCAAGCTCCTCAAGTCTTGACCACGCCGTCGAGTCCTCGGAAATCAGTGGCGAGCTGACCGGATCACTTGCCGACGGTGTACAGGGTGCGCATACGCAATCTAAGTGCACGTGGCTCGGCTGGCCTAATGGTGGTACCAGCTGGGCGGCATAATCCTCGTACGTAGCACGAGAATCAGCGACTAACGCATGCTCCTCGGTAGTGACGGCGATTGCTAGCAAGGCAACCGGTTCCGGCGGAGTGGGGAGAGACGTCGCCTCTCTCCTTGCGCAACTCAGTTTCCCGAGTTCGCTGGACGGGGTACACGTGCCTTTCCCTTGTCCGGGCATTGTGCGGTAGTGTGTGTGACACTATTGCACCATAGGCAATATCCGTACCGTTGACGCAAGTCAAATACTTCCTTGGTTGTGTTGTAAGCCGTCCATGGCTGCTGCCCAGTTCCTGTGGATGTCGTCGCTTGTGTCGCCGGTTTCTTTCGAACTCTCTTGGGACGCTTCGGCGGGAGCGCTGCGACAGTTCCTCCATCACTCGAGGATGCTGCTGCAGCGTGGAGATCGACTGTTTCTTCAGAAATCACGACATTGTTATGTGTCGGTCATTGATAGCCCTGCTTAGCCACATAGTGCGGCTGGGACTGCCGTTCGTTCGCGGCCTTGTCATCTGTTTGGATGACCAGGTTCGCACGATCCAGGATGGCCTGGAATGAGGCATAATCGTACTCGTTGCCGAGTGCGGTTCGCAGTCCTGTGCACAATCGCGAGAAGAACTCGGATCGTTGGTTAGGAAAACTCAAATCGAAGCATGGCATGGTCACTATCTTCTGCCACTTGATTGTCCAGTCTCGAGTTGGCATGCTTCCTTGCGAGCTGGTGTACACCTCGTTCATGGCCGCCTTCACGACGTTGCGGACCATGAATCGAGTGAACCATAGTTGCTCGAACTCCTTCCATGAAATGTGCGTGTGGAGTTCGGCGATGGTGCATTTCTTGGTGGCCGCCAGATGGTTCATCCATGCCTGCGCTCCTCCAATTAGTTGGAAGTAGAGTGCCTTCATCATGTCGTCAGCCGGGACAGTGCGGCATGATGCTTCCGTGAGGAAACCTTTCCACCATGTCAAAGCGTTTGTCTTGTTGTAGTCGTCGAACTTGCTGATGTTGAAGTGCGGCATCTTGTAGTTCTTTGTAGCGGCGTCCGGTCTTGTTTGCAGTTTGGTGATGTCCGTCTTGATGGCGGCCACCGTGCTGCTGATCGTGGTCGGACTGGTGAAATCACCAAGATCGCCGATTATCGTGACGACATGGTCGATGCGCTCCCCGAGCTGCTTTGCCGTGTCTGTCGTGCAGCCTGGTGCTGCTGAGGTCTTAGCCTCAATGCTGTTGATGCGTGCGAGAGTGGAGTTCAACAGCTGTTGCTGTTGCTGCTGCTGTGTTGCTGCGTTGCGGACGACAGCTGTCAAAGCGGCAATGTCTTGCTGGTGCTGTTGTCTTTGCTGTCGTTCCGTGCGCAGGTGTGCCTGCAGCAGTGTGTTATTCCACATGATTCCCCTCATCATGCCCAGCATCAAGTTAGCCAGGTGAGTCCTCTCTGCCTCCGCCGGTGTCGGATCCGCCTGTGTGTCCGTAGGCACAAAGATCATGCCTTGGAGTAACGTTGTCCACTGATTCTCATTATGAATCAGGGACTCCGTGCTGGCGGCATTCCGTCTGTCGCGTGCCGCTGCATCAGCCTCAGCAGTCTGCTGAGCTTGGGCTGCCGCCTCATTGGCCAGCCGCTGACGTTCTGCTTCTGCTGCCTCCTGCTGAGCCTTGGCGGTAGCTACGGCATCCGTGAATACCTGTAGCCGCCGTAGGTAATCAGCCAACGGTTCAAGGGCCCCTTGGACCGGACATGCGGGAAGAACCCCAGTGGTAACCGGTACTGTCATTGCTGTACTCGATGCCGCTGGAGTCGTCCGCTTGCTGAGTCGCTGTTGCTGATACTTGGTTCGTGGAGGTACCACAGAACAGCTACGAACTGCAAGCCTGGCACTGCGTCGTGGCATTTCCCCGGTGTCCTGTTCCGTCGACATCAGCTCTAGCTGATGTGGTACTTGAGAAATCCCGGTGGTCACAGATTACGGGGAGGGTAGAGAGAGTGGGAACAGGGGTAGAACAATCAAGCAATCCGCATACAGTCCCTGTCCCAATATGGACTAGACACCTAATCAAAACAGAAAAAGATAAACTTTCCCCAAACACAACTCAGAAATTCGTAATAAGAAAATAATAACGAATGATTTAATCAATAAAGTTCAATTAATGATAAATAACGAATTAATGATTCTTAATGATAATCAATAAAACAATATTTGCAATAATGATCATTAACGAATTTAAATTGTGTAAAGATTAGGTATCCGTTGAGATCAATTATGGTCCGGGAGTTCACCGTTAATTAGTGAACTACCCGGAAGTTGCAATTCTGAGGGTCAGATTTGGATCAGTTTGCCAAAAAAAAATTTCGGAAAATCAGGGAGAAAAACACTCGAATTTTCGAAAAACGTGAAATTTCGGGAATTTCAACCTACAAAATCCGATTTTTAAAGGCCTAAGTCCGTTTTCGGAATTTCTCAACCTAGGGAAAGAAAAAAAAAATTCGCGAAAATTTCGGATCCAACCCTAATTTTCCGCGATTCCGCGGAATTTCCGGTTTTACGGTTCCAAAACGTTCGAATTTCCAAGTTGATCGAAAAACCAAAAATTTTGTAACCCTAATTCCAATACTGAAATAAAACGGAAATACGGATTCTGAAAAAAAAACGAAATACAGGATGAAAATCAGAATGCCGAAATAAAAATGGAATACCAAATTGAAATCAGAATGCCGAATTAAACAGAATACTGATTTAAACCTAATAACGAATTTGAATCAGAAATCCGAATTAAAACAGCATATCGGATTAACCAGAATACCAATTAATCGGAAATGGAATTAAACAGAATGCCGATTTAAAACAGAATTCCGAATTTGAAAGTCAGAATACCGAATTGAAACGGAAATGCCAAATTAAACAGAATCCCGAAAAAGAAAAAAAAATTGCAACTTTGGATCTCGATAGTAATAAAGAGCTGATTTGGAAGATCGAAGAAGCAATCTATTCCTAAATCAGACTTACCTTGTGAGCAGATCCGTGAAATGGTCTGCTCCGATACCAAAACTGTTACATACTCGTGAATACTTCAACGAGTATGGGGCAGAACCAAAAATCAACCAATATAGGATGAGCATGTATGCAGCGGAAGTCTGATAAACGGACTGACTCACATAGACTGACTCACACAGATATCACTCCACACACAAACAATCGTGAGAGGGTGGGGTCTGAGCCATT